ACATGCTAGTTCATACTAGCCCCTAGTACAAACTACATCTTGCAGGTGAATAAAATGCTAGTTCGTATTACCCCTAGTACATACTTCGTCATTTAGGGAACGTAGTATCTACTAGGCTCTTTCGGTGAATAAAAACCGGTCCGCATAGTAGTTACTTCATTTTTATGTAGTACGCTCATGGGCATGCTTCAGTTTGGTCGTTTGTGAAGATGGCGAAGTTTATACAAGTCCATAACAGGAAAACGTACCTTGAAATAAGAAATATTGTTAACTGTAAGCAATTACTGTGATTTTAGAGTGATATTTTTTATTTGTTCACCAACAAGTTTTTTTCCTTCTCATTTCCCCTTATCAACTCTCAATTCCTTCTCTAAGCTTAGTTTATTCCCCTTAACATTCCTCTCCATTTTTTCTTCATCACATTTTTCATATTATCTTTTAAAATCCTTACCTAGAATTTTTTTTGTATCATCTAACATTTTCAACACACTGTTTTCCCCCTTACCACGCCCGGAGTTTTAGATTTCTCAAAGTTATAGAAATGTTTTTATCACAGCTCACTAATCAATATTACAATATTAAAGCCCTATCACCCCCTTGCAATACCTAGTCAACGCCATCAAAATTGTCGTCAAGCGCAGTTAACCAAATACTAGGCCTATTTGATCAACACGACTGAGAAAACTGCAGGCGCAGACAGAAATGGCAAACAGATTATCGCCGCGCGCCAGTTGTGTCTTGATTATGAGTACGTACTTGGGGGTAGTACGTACTAAGAGGGTAGTACATACTACATCATTTAGGGAACCCCTAGTACTTACTACCTAGTTCTAGCTCATTCTTATTCACATAGATTTGAGCAAGTGCTAGAACTACGTAGTACGAACTACGTAGTATGTACTAGTTTTTATTCACTTCACCCATTAGCTCCAAGTACGTAGCTTGCCTGCAATGTTTTCCCAATGGGAATTAAGCAATTTGGTATCTTTTGTAACTGTATAATTGTGGTGAATTGTTTCATTTGACTAGTAGTTATCTGAACTTGTATTTTCTTGCCTTTTATTTAAGAATAAAGTGTTTCTTAAGTGTAGAATACGCTTTACGAATATTTTTATACGATTTTGAATCAAAATTTAATTAATTAAATAAAAATGTAGCTACTAAACATGTGAGGCTGAACATTCAAAGTTTATCTTGCATTATACAGTGTTTAAACAAATACTTTTAAAAAGATAAAATTTTATGATCAAAGATTACCGACTAAGCTGTAATAAATTGTAATAGCTCAACTAGAAGAGAATCATTATATCCATCGAATTAACAAAAAGTGTAAATTGTCAAGGTCTTTTGAGATAAAAGCATCATGTTTGATCCAGCCACTTAAAAACTTTGTTAATTAACTGATTAACCATGATTAACTGAATTTTCGAAAGCTACTTTGAATGTATTCATAATCAGGGTATTGTGTGGATCGTTTCTTATAGCGTAGCAGAATAATTTGCATCATGAAAGTTTTATACATTTTGCTCCTCGTCATAACCATTATGGTAAGTTGCGGTTTTATACTCTTGGATAGCAGCAGTTGATTTATTTGAAGAAAAAATGTCGTGTTTTGCCTAACTGGTTATTGGTTTTTAAAAACCTCAATATCTCTTTAAATTACCTTTTGCTGAATGGCTGGCTTTTTAATTATTTCTGAAAGACGGTTTTGTCTTATTTAAATTTATAGTCATGTGTTGAATTGTAATCGCGAACAGTGACGGTTACAAACATCCTATTTTGTAATTTACAAATAGTTTAGCGTGGAAAGGAAACAAACTGCGAATTTATCAAGTTGTTTTGTCAATGTAATATCGTCAAAGAAATTCAGTGCCATACATATCTAAAATTAAAACTAAACATTATATCTGTTAAACACTAAACTTGGTGCGTTAGGAAAAGTCTAATCATCTTTTCATATAAAATAAAATTGTTTCATAATTTAAAATAATAATCCTCCAATATACAAAATTATTTGTTTTTTAGCTTTGCAAAATGGTTTAAAAAGAACTTGCAACATTTTATGTTTCGGTGGATGAAAAATTAGAAACCCCAAATTTTCACGCTATAAAACCGTTAAACTCTGTTTCCATAGTCCATTCTTGCTGGTACACGAACTCGTTAAAATAAACGTAGATTTGCATGTTTGTAAAACATTTATCAAAATCGGATAATTTTTTCTCGAGTTGTGCTAACGGACACACATATGTCCGGGTACGTATCTGAACATGAGACCTACGGTAGTAATTACCACTTTGTAATAATTTGGATTACGCTTATTTAGACGAACATTTAATTAAAACCATAGCACAAATAAGATGGAATATTTGAAATTTGAACAACATTTAGCTTTTAATCATAGAATAACAAATATATAAAAATATAAAAATATACATAAATATAAATATATATATTGGTTCATGAACAATCGAGGAATTTAATACTCAGGCGTCCAGATATTGCTGGTCCAATAACATTTTATAGCACTTTGAAACCCTATAAATATCATACCGTGTTTAATCTAGAAGAGGTTTTATTGATATCGTATTTATGCTGGTATCACATTTATAGGATTATACTGCATTTATCCCAATTACATTTATTAATGTTAAGTGTAATAAAGTACTCCTTATTACAATAAGAAATTTATTATATGATTATTTTATTTAATGTTAGTGTTATGGCATATAAATTAATGTTATTAGATTATGTTATAAAGTGAATCAAATATTAGAACTTATTAGAGCGATAGCTGAAATTTATGATATAAAAATAGTATAATGACTCAAGCTTATCTTTTAAGTTTTAAATACATTTTTAGTACACATTTTTAGTAAACTCTTCTAATTTAGTCACTGTTTCGAAATAATCATATAATTCTTCAGTATTAACAAGAAGTAATTAATCCCTTGTCTGTGGTAAAACTCAAAAGAAACTTAGATTTGAGATTTGAATCTTCAACCTGTGTAGTTATAGTATATTTCGTACCTAGGGCCGAAAATGAGGTTATGCCGGCTCGAGATAGTTTTTAAGTTCTCGACTTCGTCTCGAACTTAAAACCATCGAGAACTGCAAAACCATTTCGGTCCGTGGTACGAACGTTATTTTTCACCACATTATACCTTATTACCACTATTCACCACAATAATAATGCACACTGATAGTCAACACAACTACAACTTTAAGGTTATGTGAAGAAATAATTTTAGGTATCAGCAAAAATAATAGTAAATAGTTGCTAGGCAACAGTGACAATAAAACAATTCTATTGCAATGCTATGGATACTGATTGTGTATTTTAATATGCCTTCATTTTTTAAGTAAGTAGCGGGCAGCTGATTTTGCGGCCTTAGGGATATAAAAACCTGCTCGGTCCCCAAATAACGATGACAGCTAGCATGGCAAGCAAAACGTAACTTTCAGCCACCAATTAACGTATGTAAAACAGCTAAAAACATCATAGTGTGGTGTTATTTGGTAGGTACTTCAACTCTTATTTATTTCACCACGTTTGTTGTTTATCACACATATTTCATGTCAAAACACATGTTCAATCCTTACAACGTATTATAATATTACATTTCCCAACAGGCTCTCGCAGAATCTTACACAGACCAAGACGATGAGTTAAAAGAAGTGCTACAAAAGTTGGGCATTGATTTAAACGTAGATGACGAAGTGAACAACGCTCACCCTCTTTCTCAAAATTCTGATATAGAAAACATCAACAGGCGTAGCACTCATCCACCTAAAACCACTAGGAGGAAAACAACCACTGTGACCCCAACACCGGTTCCATCTTCAACGGCCTCACCCACCCCCACTCCTACCCCCTCTCCAGAACCATACATGAAGTTGATCAAGAAAAGAATAGTTACGGTCGAGGACTTTGAAATAAGTGAACAATATTGAGAACTAGTAATGTGAGTTTCTAATAAATAGTACGGCTGTTTCAGATTATTTGGTTTTCACGTTCCCATGCCTTGATAAACATACGGCTTAATAAACCACAATACCACATGATGGATAAGTATACTCTAAGGGATAATAACCCTTATATATTGTGATAGATTAAAGGCAAATGCTTAATTTTAACGTATATATCCATAGCATTTTATTTGTAGAGATAAAGGCTGTAGTAAGGGTTTTTGAAAAATATTGTTACTTAATAGAACTGAATTTGTCTTATGCTACTTTTTACAGTGAAACTTAATACACATTTCATGTGTCAACATATTAATTTTCAATGACTGTTTCAGTTTGTTTTGTAATAAGGTTTTAATGTTTCCCAAAAGTAGCAAGTTCTTTATTTCCATATCAATACATATCACTTGATTATGTCTCTTGATTATGTAAACAACGAATTTAAAACTTAACAATGGAAAAATCATATTTTGGCTTAAGCATATACTTTCACAACGAACAAACAAATTCAAAATGCGTGAGTTGAAAAAATACATTAAAGTTGATGCATATCTATAGAAATCTGTTTCTTTAAGTACAAAATAAGTATAATTGTTTATTTTAAAGCATTATTATTGGTAGTTTCTTTGTAACAAAACAATTTTTGAAGGTAATTGAGTTTGAAAGTAAATTTGGAGATATAACAATACCATCTATCACATACAGCTTGGATATAGCTGACTATGGCATTAATTTAAATTTTGGGCTTTATTTAACTCTAAGAAACTTAAAAATAATCATAAATAACATTTTGGCTCAGTCTTTTGCTTAATATATCTGAGTGAATACAAAATATCCTTGTTCATTAACACGTTGTAGCTTTGTAGCTATACCAGCGTATAATTGTATATAATTTTATCGTTACTTCTCTTAGAACTTGAAAGGCCAATGTGACTCATCATCTTGCGTAAGTGGCCAGATTATACTAATAAGTGAACAAATATTGTAGATTACACTCGTCAGAACCAATATGATCTAATTGAAGTATTTTAGAGTGATTCGCGATTCCCTTGAATGCCTGTCATTGATATCTTAAGTGTTTACCACTTCGAATCTAAACCTCACTCCTCCATTAGTTTAGTTCACGATTCTTTGTCGACATGAGGGCTGTTTATTTGTTAGTTCTCTGTGCAATATTGGTAAGTATATACATGTTTTCTGTTACTAGCTAGAAATACATGGTGACCCTACCTTTAAAATATATTGTGTACTTATCTGCATGAATTTAATAGACTGAGGATATACATCCTGAGAAAATGTTAGTCTTGACAGTAAATAAGCCTATTGGTTTGTCTACAGGTTTCAAAGAACGTGGTGTTTTGCGCACTTGAATTAGTTTGCAAAACTGTTATTCTCACCATTTTACTTTCCCCACTCTTTTTCTCACTACTTTTCCTCACTCCAAAAAAATTTCTGTTAATTTTCTTTTAATTGAATCGTGACCAACAGGAAACTGGGCTTAATGAAGATTAGTTGAAATTTTACACGTGCAATGTTAAATTTGCATCTGGGTGAACTAACGTTAACCGAAATATTTTTCTAAACGGATGAAATTTGTTGTAACAGTTTTACTTGTCCTCTTAACTGAAGTATCGAAATAATAAGTGATATGAAGAGGAATAAGTGGTATGAGGGTATACTGATATATATTCGCTGTAAATATATTTGTTTGGTTAAGCTTTTTTTTGATAAATAAATTGTCATTTAAAGATGAAAATGAAATTCATATATTATGATTGTGTTACAGTGCATTATACTATCGATATGTCGAGCGGTCAAAAACAATAGGCTAAATCCTTACATAAAAATCAATCGATAAACAATTTCGATCAATACGATTGCCACAATCAAAAATTTATAACTGTTTACAACTGCTGATATTTACTCCCTAGGGACTAAAAATTATTTTTACTCCCTAGAGAGTAAAAATGCTAATTTGGACCCGCAACGCATGCATTTAAAAAGGCTGTTTTTGCTGCAGTCTGCCGAAAAACCCTGTTTAATAACCTGCATTTAGTAACCTTTGCAAGATACTTCACAATTGGTCTTATTTTCAGGCTTTTTCTGCAGCTGAAACTCAGTTGGAGGAAAATAATGACCTCAGAGAAATGTTCAAAATGTTTGGAATTGACTTGGATGTGGAAAGTGGTGATATTCCACCTCAACCTCAACCCACCGAAATATCTCACAAAACTCATAGAACTCACAAAACTCGTAGACCAACCGGCCCAACAACACCTTTAACCACTAGACACCCATCAACCACCCCTCCTCCTACACCATCATCTACGTCGTACCCACCCTATCCAACTCCGACCCCCTCTCCTGAACCTCCAATGAAACTGAAGAAGAAGAAGGTAGTCACTGTCGAAGACTATGAAGAGTCTTCACAAACACATTCTCCCATAACCATATCTCCTGAACCTCCAATGAAACTGAGGAAGAAAAGAGTCATTGTTGTTGAAGATTTCGAGGCTGATAGCGATTTGTAAGTGTTTTTGGTTGTTTGGTGTTCATTATATTGTGAAATAGAATGATAATAATGTGAATGAAAAATATCCATAGAATTCTAGTTCCCAATGTCTTTATTATTGGCCTTTCAAAGATCTCCCATCACGAACATGTAAATAACGTAAATGTTTAAAAATACATACACAAATCAATGTATGATGCTACATAAAAAGAGTCGAAATCAAACCATAAAAATTCCAAAATCCCTGATTTGAAAGTATCTGTACTCAATAAAAGAGATTTGAGAATGAAAACAAAGGTGAAATATATACAGAAAACAAATGAGCAATGTGGAGCGGAAAATTGACGGTTTTTAATATATGGAGGGTTGCAACATTTATCTCGAGTAACGAAAGGCCACAGTATCTTTTATGTATGATAACTGTTAACAGTAATTTAAGCAAACGGTCTAGCATAGCTGGTATTCAAGGCATCAAAGCCTGAATGCGTGCTATAGTATGTCAAAGGGAAATAATTACACATGGAAGCCATTACAAAGGCATTGCAGACACATCATCTAGCTTCAAGAAATTTCAATTGTTCAGATTATTATGGTTGAAGAAATAATAAGGAGGTGGTGGTGATAGTGATCCAAAAAATTTATATATACGACTTTCGAAACAAAATTTACTAAACATATTTTTATTGAATCTAATTTTTTTGTTTGGTACACTTTTTGTTTGGTTACGCTCTACGGTATTTTCAGTACTGTTTTCAAACAACCAGTTGAATTTAGCACAATAAATTACTCTGGAATTGGGTGAAACACTTCAAGACTCACCAATACTAGCTCTAATGATCGAAAGTAGTTATTGATTTCAAGTATTGACTCATTGGAAAATTTGAAATGTCAATCAAAATCAAGTAGTTTATACACTATCAGATCATTGAAACTTCTTGTAGATTTCCCACAAGTAATTGTTCAAGACTATCACATTTGGGCACACCAACCGATTGTATACTTTATTAGGGGGTAGATTTTACGGCAGTATAACATAAAAATACTGGACGTTTCCTAAGATTAAGTTAATGAAACTTTACATTATAAGAACCAATCTCCCGTGCCTTGGATATTCTACACTCTAGAAACATTACTTGCATGATTTCCCATAGGAACACGTTTGGTGGGTTTACATGAGCCGATACATGAGGCAGGCTTTTTCAATATTACGTTGAACAGAACATTATATCTCTGTAGTTAGTTTTGATATAACATGTGTACTTTAAACTCTAACTTTCCAGTGGTCGAAAACTCAACCAAAAATATCGAATGTACAGACTAAAATATTTTCACCTCACGCTGTAAATAAAACATGTAATTGCAATTTGTTTTGATTTTATGTTTATATTTTGTACTTATTTCGTCACCATCATGACAACCCATAAGGCCCATGTTAATTTTGTGAAGTTTTCAAATTCATTTTTGTGTTTATTTTTGTGCCTATTTTAATTTATAAAGGGATTCTGCACATTTACAGGAACATATATTTCTAACAGTATGAGTAGATTTTCCCTGTGATGCACATGACCTGAAAAAAGGTTTAAAGAAACAAGCTTGCCTATTAATATATAGATGACGATCAATTCTTGGTACATCTGTAATTGTACAATGTTTTAAGTACGATGAAATAATTATTATAATATTGCTTATTAAAGATTCTACGATCAAATATTGAAATAAGGATACTACTCAGATACACGTCTACAAAAAGTTTGACCTTGTACTGTAATGTGCTGAATTATTGTTTATATCCGTTGTAAAACTATTAAAAACCAATTAATGTATATATAGGGGGAGAAAGTAAAAGGTACTCTCCACTAAATAGAATACCTACATGTTTGTAAATATTTATCAAGCAATGTCCAGTTTTGTCAAAAAAAAAAAAAAAAAAAAAAAAAAAAAAACTGCCCATAAACCTCTAAATGAATGCAAAACGATTAAACATCCACATCAGACAGGATACATTACTTGATCATGCATGGTCATATGATTATCTATGAATCGTATCATGCAGAAGACTAAGCTAAGTGAGTTAAGAAAGGACGCACAGCTCTGATCCTGTGAACCTTTGGGAAATTAAACAGCAACCAGGTTGTGTAAGTAGTTTCGAGATTATACTTGTAGAGATTTGAGGTCATGGAAATTAACTTATGTGTGTAATTTGCAGAATTAACTAGGCTACACCTAATGTTGTAGAGATAGTGAAAGCTGTATTTTGTTAAATAAACCTAACTATCAAAACCCATGGCGTTGAGTGAAGGGAGCTTCGCAATGCAGAGAAAGTACCTATCTTTAGAGATTAATCACACTAGTAACAAAAACTATGAAGTATCTATTTTATGCTATTTGTTTTAGGTTACAACCAGTAAGTCATAAGATTAAAATATGACCAAATCATAATGTTCCACACAGATGATTACTAGTGATAAATATAACAACAATAGTTGACAATAGTACTTCAATAATAGTTGCCTCAGATTGTTTATGTCCGTTGATAATGGTTATTGTTGTTGGCGAGTATATCAACCTATAACAGAAAGCTATTATAAATCTAAGACTTACCGTCTTGAAGCAATCCAATTGGATTGCTTCAAGACGGTAAGTCTTAGATTTATATTATTTAAAAAGCAAATCCTGGTCAGCCAACCACAAAGTATAAGAAAGCTATTATTGGAGAGTCTGATCCCATCCAATGAAAACTATTGTTAGAGAGTGTAATTTTATATACAGAAATCTATATTATTGGAGAGGGTTATCCCATAAAATGAAAGCTATTATTAGAGATTGTAATTGTATACACAGAAATCTATATTATTGGAGAGTGTTATCCCATAAAATGAAAGCTATTGTTAGATAGTGTAATTTTATACACAGAAATCTATATTATTGGAGAGTGATATCGCATACAATGAAGGCTATTTTTGGAGAGTTTTATCCCAAACAGTGATAAATTGCAAATAATTAAGATCTGTGAAATTAGTGCCATTAGTCTACGGCAATAAACAAAACCGAATCTAAAAATGTTTCAAGTAATAACGAGTTATACTAAAAAAATAAAAGGAATATAACTATGGTATAACTTATTATTTATGCTTTTATTACTGATTTACTGTCATAATAATTACATACACTCGAAAGTGCGTATTAAGATTTATTTGGCGAAATAGGTTGAGGCAGACACTGATATTTAATTAATTTTTTCAGATATTTATGATGTTCTCGTCAAGCAATCGATCTCAAGGAAACCGCCATAAATAATGTTTATTTAAAACAAGATTCAACCTCTCTTACTTTTTCAGTAAACAAAGTTGCCAGTTAGAAGCAACTGAGGTTGTTTGCATAGTTTGCTTTTTGTAAAAGCTTAAAAAGTTGCAGTTGTTTCTCAAATTCTTCTCTTAGTTTTGAAATCAATTTGTTTTACCAACAAAGTATTTTAATTTGAGTATTTTCATTAGTTATATTTTAAAATTTTTATTACGTGATACAAAAATACCATTATACCATTAGCAGGGTTTAGCAGACGTAAACTATTTATTACAAATCATTGAATAATTGAGTATTAAGGCCGAATTTTGAGCTTTTAACTAAATATGAAAGAAAAAGAAAATTCTTTGTGGCGAAACAAAAATAGGGTTTTAAGTAAGGGTATTTTTCACCTCGATAGAAAAAATGTAAAATGTATGTTCTGAATCAGAATGGGCAGGTAAATTTTGAAACAAGCGTATTGGCCTCTTAATTTTCCTCAATGTACTAAAACATAAAAGATAAATTTATTAGTTAAGGCTTGGAATAGTTTACCGGCAATGGGTGGGTTACCCCAAAATATACAGTCTCATAATAGTAATATCGCTAACTCGATAACTGAAAATAAAAATAAGAATAAAATAATATTTATTTTCCCAAATAGTTACAAATAGATACAACAAAACAAAACAAAAGTTTTTGCAAATTCATAAAATAATTTCATAAAATATTTCAAAGTCTTCATTGTAACATTCTTCTCATAAGTAAAAAAAATATATACTTCTAATACTAAGACAATTTATTATTAAGATAGTATTGCATTGAAAACATAATAATCTCTATTTTTCTAATCCATTGTTACACCATAATAGAATGACTTATTTGTTATTACACATATACTATTTAAGTAAAGTATTATTAGGCTAATGATAATATTTACAGAAGACTTCAACAACTATCTTGGATTTGGAAAAATGTAGTGCCTCAGAGGCATTGCCTATGAGGTTCATTATTATAATTGAGATAACACTAATTAACTCATAGAACATTGGAATACGTTATGATAGTACTAGATATTTCCCTACACCTCATTAAACATTGTATGTAAGACTTACTAACAAGGTAGCAAAGTACTGTACTGTGCAATAAACTATCTGTTATATCCAGGTGAATTTCATTTGAAGTGCAATTAAACACAATACAATCATACATTCATAAACATTTGAACAACAGTCATACAGTCTGCAATACAGTCATGGTCTGTATTACATCATAACAGTAATGTGAACATAATTAAATGCTGCCTCTGTCTACCTCTCTGACTCGATATTGATGTGTCAAAGGGATTCACATTCAAGCTATATGGTTTTGTGTATACAGGGTGTCCCGGAACTCTCTACCAATATTTTAGGGCATTGATTCTGGGTAAGAAACATAACTAAATATCATATTTAAACTGTCCGGAAGTCCATAGTTATTCACACAGCCGCCATTTTGTTTTTTTAGTTATTAATGTTTTTCTAAAGAATGGTTAAACATACGAAATGGAAACTTTGCACAAACATTTATGACAATTAGACAAAGCTAAAAAACACTATGACGATTTTTCAAGTTCATAAAACAAAATGGCGGTCATTTAAAATTTTCTTTCTTAAATAACTCAAAAACCATATGAACCAATATGAATAATCGTGATATTTTTTTGGTAGCTTTGTCTAGTTGTCATAAATGTTTGTGCAAAGTTTCCATTTCGTATGTTTAACTATTCTTTAGAAACAAATTAATAACTAAAAAAAACTAA